ATAATCATCGTCTGATCCCATCGTCCGAAAATCAGCCAGGTTATCGTTCGGACGTCCGATGGGATATCATCGCCCGTCTGCTTCTGCGTCCGAACGTCGTCAGAGAGTTATCAAGGTTTTGCTAAATTTTTCGGACGTCCGATGCGATCGATGTGCGTCCGAAACATGCGTCCGATTCCGATGCTTCCTCACGAGCGTCCGATGGAGTTTCTTTCTTGATGTTCTTCATCCTTTCGGACGTCCGACAGATTCCTTTTGGACGTTCGGTATGAGTACCCTGTTTTTACTTCTTCTTTTGGTTGATTTTCTTTCCTTGATTCCTTTGTACCTGATTCTCTAAAAAGCAAAATTTTTATATTTGAAGAAAATTAGATAAACATTTCAAAGTGCTTTTGTGATCATCAAAATCAAGAGTAACAGGACTCAACGGTTCAATCGGATTAAACTAAGAACCCACCCGATTTTATGGGAAATATTTAACCAAACTCTTGCTAAGATTCGAATGCGAGACTTTAAGCATGTATCTACGATATGCTTACCACTAGACCACTTTGTCATATGCTAGTTAATTGGCCTTCTTATGCTATATGAATATTTTGTAAATTTTATCTTTATTTTTTTTATTTCTCTAAAACAAATTTATTTGGAATCTTTTAATAAAAACTTATGACCCCCCAAATTCTATAAGTTATAAATTGGATTTCAAAAATAACATATTACATAATTTATTTTAAAGACAAATATTATTTTTAAAAATTTTTTGCACTTAAAAATTCATAAAATAACCTTGCTAATTACACTAAATATAGATAAAATTTTATACTTGAAGTTTCATGGATTACTAATTAAATTTATGTTTTGTTGATTCTTATATGAATTAATTATTTTGTAGCGAATTAAATTAAATGAGCATTTGCTATGACATTGTTTATTATACTTTATATCATATACTCTTTATCAAAAATTATGAAACACAATATTTAAATATATTTAATGATCCATTAGTTGAATCAGTGACCCGTTGACCCATCATGCTCGCCGAGTTCCTTTTCGGATCGGGTTTAATAACTATGGTTTCAATCTAATCTTAGATTCAAAGAATTAATAGTTTAATCAAATCCTATTTAATACAATTATTTAAAGAAATCCATAGTTGTTTAATTGGAGTGGTCAGGTACGTCACCATTGCTATAATTCGACAAACTACATGTCACTCGAAAATCTCTATAGATAATTGACTTTTGCTTACGAATTCCGTGTACAAAAATGCCTTCACAAACATCAATTATTCCACTAAAGTCCCTGACCAATTAAGACCCTTAAACATGTACAAAACTGTGGAAAAACCAAATGGAATGTTTTCGTCGAAAAGAAAGTATGTTTTAGCTTCTTTTTGAAACATATGTTTGCAATTATTTTCTTGAGAAAATAATTTCTAATTTTCCGTGCTCTAATGTTCTTGGATATTCTATTATTTTCCATGCTATTTTAGAAGTCTCAACAAACTGTGCATCACACATGTAAGTTGTAAGTTGGAATAAAAAATTTTTTTTCTGCTCGAGAATATTCTTTGATAACATATAAGTGCCTTGTTGGATTTCTCTTGTGAAAATTACCAACACAGAGTGTAATTGCAAAGAATATTTTCTCTGAGATAAAGTGCATACGATTATTTATAAGGTTAGTAAGATGTAGACAATAGAGGGAATTTAGAGGAACAAAGATAAAAAAAAGGAGAAACCAAAGAAAACTTACCATGTTTCCTTGAAACCTAAGTAAGAATTCGTACTACTATAGGATTGAAAAAAAAAAGCTATTGACGGCGGATCCTTGAAAATGCTAAAAATATTGAACATTGTATCATGATTTTAATCCAATTACATTTTTGCCACATCATCAGATGATTCAAATTATTGAAATAATCTAACAATTCCTAACTCTCATTCAATAATAAATTTAATTTCATCAATATAGGATCTAAAAGGTACTATAGAATTTCCCTAAAAATAAATATTAACCCAAAAAGAATGCATGTTATTTAGTATTGAAAAATATTGACGGTGAATTTACTTATTAGTACTCTGTCACCTCCATCGTTTTACTTTTCCTCCATCCTCCATGTCGCAAGTTCCTCTTATATGATATATCTCACCTTTGGTATTCATGTATTCACAGATTTCTTGAGGTTATTGAATATCTAAATAAAAATGGTAAAAATTAATTCTTTGTTTTTTTGACAAATTCTTTTCTTCCTTATTCACTTATTAAACTGCAGGAAGAATATGAAAGTTACCTTGTTTGCGGTTTATTTGATGGTAGTGTCGGTGATCACAGAATCCATAGCAGCGCAGAAATTTATCTATAAAAATCATAACTTGGTCTAATTCAAAAAAAGAAATCCTTTTTGTAGCTTTTGTTTCAAACTTTACATCTAAAAAGTTCTACTTGTATTCGTGTTCATTAAATTTAGCATTCTGAATTTCTACGTGACCACTCGATTGTCCGACTATGGTTAGCCGAAACAGCCTTGCAAGTTTGACTCTGGCAGAACAAAAAGTTAGTTGAAATGTTAAAAGGGATTGATTAGCGAAGGCTAACTTGGGCATTTTGAGAAAATCACTCTGGCAGAACAAATAAAATAATAGCCAACCATCAGAATAAGAAATCAACAGCTAGAAGAAACAAAATATTCATGAAAAAATCTCAAGAATTATAAAGAAAAAGATTTGGAGACAAATGGTTGCTAAACAGATTAAGAAAGGAAAATATGATAATCCTCAATTTACAAATATTAAATTTGCTATTATAAGTTTTTTTTTTCTTGTTTATGCACTCCGTTTGGATTAGCTGTTTTTGGGCGGTATTTGTGAAATATTTTACTATAGCAATATAGTTTAAAAACTTTTACTGTAGATAAGGTTATTTTTTAGGTTTTCATTGTATTTTTTGTGTTTTTTAATGTTGTTTTTTATGTGTTTTTGAAGTTGTTTTTTTATATTTTTGAGATTTTTTTTGTTTTTTGGTATTTTTGAAATTATTTTTGGTATTTTTGAAGTTATTTTTATTTGTATATTAATGTAACATTGTAGTTGAAAATTTTGTTTTTTCAAAAAATCCCCAATCCAAACGGAACAAAAAAAGCTCTCAAGTACATAAGAAAACCTATACTAGATACAAGAGATACAAATAGACATATCAGTTAAGAAAATTTAACATACAATCCCCATTCCATAGCTATTAGACAATTTTCATGAGCTTCAATTATATTTTTTTTAAAAAAAAGCAAACATAAACAGCACGTGCAAGTGCACGCGTTTTTGTTATTAAGCGTTTCATTTCTTAAAGGAAAAGGCATTGACACGCACAAAAGAACAACGACTTCTTACCAAACAAAAGCAAAAGAACGATCATTTGCTTTTTCTGGAGTTAGAATAACATAAATATCACATTCGGTAAGCTACCATGTTCCGTGCATGAGGCGAGGTTTCTATTTTTAGTATATTAGGGTTTTTGTCAGACTTGGCCGCCATGGCCGCCATCTCCTCCTCTTCGGGGGAGGGGGCCGCCTGACCACGGCTCCGACTGGTGTAGGGCGGTCGTTTGCTGAGGTTGTGGCGTCCAAAGCGGTGGGCTTCAATGCCAAATCTTTCTCGTCTATTTCTTCCAATTCAGGAGGTCCGAAGGTGAACCCGGTGGTGGCTACTCACCGCGGGGAACCGGCAGTGTCTTTTGACATGGTGGACATAGAGCGCGTTGCCCTTCCCTTCCAATATGCTCTAGTGGGAAAATTTTCCAGAGGGCGACCACTGCTAGAGGAGTTGCGCAGATTCTTCCAGGCGATGGATTTGACGGCTCAATTTTCTATTGGGTTGCTGGAGAGGAGACATGTTTTAATTCGTTTATCGGATGAAGCAGATTACTACAGAGTTTGGGGAAGGGGAATCTGGTATATCAGGGCATTGCCCATGAGAGTGTTTAAATGGTCCATCGATTTCCATGTGGATCGAGAGACGTCGATCGTTCCAGTCTGGTTTTCGTTGCCGAAATTGCCGGTGCATCTGTTCCAAAAGGAGTGCTTGTTCCCCATAGTGTCTTGCTTGGGACAGCCTCTATGCGTGGATGCTGCGACGGCGCAGGGAACAAGGCCTAATGCTGCACGGGTATGCGTGGAAGTTGATCTTCTGAGAGAACTCCCCACTCGGGTGTGGATAGTGTTCGGTGATAGAGTTGGCTTCTGGCAGCCGTTGGTAGCTGAACATCTCCCCAGATATTGCGGGCATTGCTTTCATCAGGGCCATGGGGAGGTGGAGTGTAGAGTTAAGAACCCTGGTTTGAAAGTAGACCCACCTAGGCTTAAGGTGAAGCAGACGTTTCAGCAGCGGGTGAAGGTGTTGGCTACAGATGTGGGAGGAGAAGATACAAGTGGTGATTGTGCGGGCACGATAGAGGCTGGGCAAGGGGTGTTGGTTCCGTCTGTGGCAGCTGGGAGTGCTGGGGGAGAAGAAACTATGGGGGTGGTTGAGCAAGTGCCTCCACTGGTCGCGCAGCCTGAGGGCCCATTGGTGAGACAGGAGGGTCACTCGGAGGAGAAGGGCCGCCGAATGGACCGCGTGGTGGAGGACGCTGGGTTACTCCAGCCGCAAGGGGCAGCTTTGGCACAGCAAAAGCAGGAGCAGGTGACAGGTTGCACGATCACAGATTTGGGAGGGCAGTCCAACACTCAAGTGTACTGTCGGGCTGCTACGCTGCAAGCTGAGGTGACAGGGAAGCAAGGCGCAGGGGTCATGGCGGAAGTTCCATGCGAGAAGGGATGCGATGCCTTGGGTAGTGGCGGGTTGGTTGATGAGCAACACGAACGGGATGGAGTGGTGCCCTCTGAGCCGTGGTAGGAATGGCCCTCGCGGGCGGAGGTAGAGCTCCTGGAGGTCCAGCGGAGGGTAGGAAACCTGTCTCCCAGGAGTGGTAGTCCCAGATTACGAGCGCAGGAGGAGGTGTCGCAGATGGAGGCATTGAATTTGGACCCAGTGGGGCTTACTCATGACAGAACTCAGGTGGGTGCAAGACACGGTAGTCCTTCGAAGGTACGTACTCGCGGCCTCCGGGCTGGAATTCCCTCTGACAGAACCTTGCGCCCTAGGGTAAATGTTTCCAAAAATGCTTTCTCTGCTTTATCCCATGATTAAATTTTTATTTTGGAATATTCATGGGATGGCTCGTCCTCCTAATTTAAAACGTTTGACAAAGATTATTAAGATGCATTCCATACAGCTGGTTGTTGTTGTTGAACCTAAGACAAGTATCCAAAACATCACGACCATAAGAATGAAATTGGGGATGGATTGGGGCATGGCTAATCAATGGGGGACTGTTTGGTTGTTTTATCGCTTTGTGTTTAATTGTGCTTGCATAGGGGAGTCCCCCCAGCATTTAACGGTTCAGATTCAGTCCCAGTTGTTTCCTTCTCCTGTGACTTTCTCTGGTATTCATGCCAAGTGCACAGAGCAGGAAAGGCAAGTTCTATGGGCTGACCTATTAAGAGATAAGCCGGCCTCGGCACCATAGTTTCTGGTGGGGGATTTCAATGTGATTATTAGTGAGAGGGAGAAAAGGGGCGGTTTACCTTTCAGAACTCGAGAGGGCTTGGATTTCTTGCAGTTCATGGCAGAGGCGGGGGTAAGCGATGTTAGTTTCTCGGGCTCGCGATTTACTTGGTGTAACAATCGCCCGGACACAGCACGAATTTGGAAACGGCTGGATAGGTTGTTGGTGAATGGGGCAGCTCTGCATCTGCGGCACCAGGTCACTGTCCAACATTTGGGATGTGATCCGTCGGATCACTCGCCATTGCTATTGTCGGTGGTTACGCGACTGGATGACAAACCTAGGCCTTTTCGATTCCAGAATTTCTGGACCATGCACAAGGGTTTCTTGGAGGTAATTAGAGATTGCTGGACGCTGCCGGTTAGTGGGCCTCCCATGCAGATATTGGCACTGAAGTTATGGGGAGCTAAACAGGCTCTGAGGCAGTGGTCGAGGCAAACTTTCGGGGACATCTTTGTAGCGGTACGGGGCGCCGAGCGGGAGGTAATGGAGGCGGAGAGGAGGTATGACCTGGATCCGACGGGTTTGCTAAGGAGTGAGTTACATCATGCACAGACACGGTTGAGGTACGCTCTGAATGTAGAGGAAGGTTTTTGGCGGCAGAAGGCACGGGTGAAGTGGCTTCGGGAGGGAGACAAGAATACCAAGTTTTTCCACTCGGTGGTCACTGAGAGAAGACAGCGGGCTGTGATCCATCGGGTGAGAGGGATAGATGGGGAGTGGGTTGAGGAGGAGGCACAAATAGGAGAGGTGGCTGTGAATTTTTTCCAGGGTTTATTCTCAGCAGACGGTAGTCAGTCGCCCCACCAGATCAAGGACCTCATTCCGGGGTTAGTCACTGCCCAAGACAACGAAATACTCTCTGGGATACCTACTTTGGAGGAAGTGAAGGGTATAGTGTTTAGCATGGATGCGGAGAGTGCGGCGGGCCCGGATGATTTCACAGGGAAGTTTTTCATGGTCGCCTGGGAAGTGATTACGGAGGATGTGTATCGGGCAGTGGTGAGTTTTTTCTGTGGGGCGGACATGCCAAGGAGTATCACGGCTACCTCGGTTGTTTTGCTACCGAAGGTGGATAGCCCTCAGGATTTTACGCAGTTTCGGCCCATCAGCCTATGTAACTTTGCCAAGAAGATCATTTCGAAGTTATTAGCAGAGCGATTGGTGCAGGTCCTACCACGACTCATTTCCCCGCAGCAGAGCGGGTTTGTGAAGGGCAGACAGATTGCGGATAACTTTTTGCTAGCCCAGGAGCTATTGACTGGTATCAGGAAACCGAATCGAGGTGGGAACGTAGTTATCAAGTTAGACATGATGAAGGCCTATGATAGGGTTTCGTGGCCTTTCCTGTTGCAGGTGCTCCGTCGCTTTGGTTTCTCCGAAACTTGGATAGACATGATGTGGCGGTTAATCTCTAATGTATGGTTCTCCATTCTTGTAAATGGGGCTCCGTACGGGTTTTTTAAGTCGACTAGGGGTCTTCGGCAGAGGGATCCCATTTCTCCGGCTCTCTTTGTTATTGGTGCTGAAGTATTATCGCGTGCCCTAAATGCGCTGGTTACTCAAGAACAATTCATTCCGTTCAAAGTTCCCCCCCAGGTGCCCGGCTATCACGCACTTGGCATATGCCGACGACGTGATCATCTTCTCCAGTGGAGGGAGAGCCTCGCTAGCTCGGCTTAAGCAGGTGTTAGATGAGTATAGCAGGGCTTCGGGGCAGCGGATCAACTACCAGAAAAGCTATTTTTTGACCCACTCGGGTTTTCCGCCAAGGCAGGCAGCAGCGGCAGGTCAGATTCTGGGTTTCCAGAGACGAGCATTTCCGATACGGTATCTTGGTTGCCCGTTATATGTGGGCAGGAGGAAAAAGATCTATTTTGCGGATATGTACAATGCGGTGGCAGCTCGTATTCTATCGTGGAAGAACCAGCTATTATCTGTAGGAGGCCGTATTGTGTTGGTTCAAAGTGTTTTAGCATCAATGCCGATACATTTACTTGTGGCTGCGTCCCCTCCTCAAGGGGTGATGGGAGCCGTGGAGAGATTGTTCGCTGATTTCTTGTGGGGGCCATCCGATGGTGGTTCAAAGCTCCATTGGATTGGGTGGAAAGACATTTGTCGCCCTTGGGAGGAGGGAGGGGTTGGGTTGCGAACCCTGAAGGGTGTGCATGATTCGCTATCGGTTAAACTCTTCAGGCAGCAGCAATCGCTCTGGGCGGAGTTCATGACTAGGAAGTATTGCGTGGGTCTGCACCTGTGTCTAGCGGATGATGGCCCGCTGTGTTCTTCTACATGGAAACGGATGGTGTCAGTTCAGCAGGTCGCGGAGGATAACATCGGCTGGGTAGTACGCCAGGGTTCAATAGACTTTTGGCATGACAATTGGCTGGGGACTGGAGCGCTTTGTGGTAAGTTTGAGGTTTTCTTCGCTCATTCGGTTGCGAATTTTGTGGACGGGGGGGCATGGAATGTCAATATGCTTCGTCAGTACTTAGATGCTGGGCTAGTGGGCCAGGTTCTGCAGGTGGCCCGCCTTCCTTCCGGGGACCGGATCGTATGATTTGGAGACCCACAACGGCTGGTGTTTTTTCCACATCCTCAGCCTATTCCCTCGTCCGCCATGTTGATAATCGTTCTTGGATCTATGCCTCGGTCTGGCAGCAAGGTCTCCCGGTTAAAATTTCTTTCTTCATGCTGAGGCTAATGCAGGGCAGGGTTCCTACCATGGATAAGCTGGCGAGGTTCGGCCTCTGTGGACCGTCCCGATGCTGGTGTTGTCAGGAGCCACAGGAGGAGAGTCTGGAACATGTGTTTTGTTCTGGAGAAGGGGCGCGGACACTTTGGCGGTACTTTGAGATCCACTCGGGAGAAATGGCAGGGGTGCATACACTCCGACACATGGCTGGACTATGGTGGCTAAGGAGAGGGAGCAATGAGTTTTTGCGGTTCGTGTTTCGCATAATACCGTCGGTAATTTGCTGGGAGTTATGGAAGGCGAGGAATCAGGGGATGTTTGAAGGACAGCGGATTCGAGGTCGGAATATGGTGAACCGAGTCGTCCAGGTGCTAGTAGAGATCTGTCAGGCACGCTTCCCAATGCTGAGGTGTGCGGATGCTTCGTGGGAAGGATTAGTGCGGGAGATGACTTGTCGGCAAGAAAGATGGATTATCCGGACGGTGCATTGGGTAATGCCGCAGGGTGGGTAGAAGTTGAATGCGGATGGATGTTCTCGGGGGAATCCGGGTTTGAGTGGAGGGGTTGGATTGGTGAGGGACTACCATGGGGACTTTGTTTTCGGTTTCTCAGAGTGTTTTGGTTATCTAACCAACCTTCGGGCTGAATTGCGTGCTCTACTAGTGGGGATTAAGCATTGTATTGCCCGGGGATTCCTGGCGATACACTTGGAATCAGACTCACTTTCACTGATTCGGATGGTTAGAGGGAAGAGTGATTTCCCTTGGGAGATGCAGGGGGAATTGGATGGCTTGCTTCAGTTCAAGCAGCACTTTCAGATAGTAGCTCACTGCTACAGAGAGGCGAATGTTCCTACGGATCGGTTGACGAATTTAGGGGCAGATCTAAATGGCACACAACTGTTTCAGTCGATGCTAGATTTACCTCAATGGATTCGGGGGGCGATTAGGTTGGATCAGTTGGGAATTCCCTCGATCCGTAGACGGATGGTGGGCTATGTATGATAGGGCACCTGGTGTACTCATGATTCCTTATTAATAAAATATTTCATAAAAAAAAAAGCAAAAGAGCGACGACTTCATACCCAACAAAAAGTACTAGGGAACGACGACTTCATAGAAAGACGACTTTAGTTCAACTAGGAGGCGCGGTGTGGAGTTAATGCCTGAGATTTCTTTGTGCCCAGCATTGTTTAGTAACGATGTCAGTTGTACGCGAAAATAAATTGTACAATGTTTGAGTAAGATATTGTGTATTTTCTAGTTCGAGAACTTGGAAGTAAGGGGTAATAGTAGTTAGTACAACAATTAAGATGATCTTCCTAAATGCTTATCACATGTCATGAATTAAGAAACATATTATAGAATATAAATTACATTCATAAGTACACAATCCGATTTGCTAAACACATAAAAAGAAGAAAAAAAATTAAATGTCCAGATCGGAACTAAATCAGCTTCTAAGACTCTAATATTTGCATTCTCGATCACTCAAATCTTTGAGTATGTTAGAAATTAATAGCCTTGTGTACATATCTTTTCCAGAACAAAGTGTCAGTATGACAATCTTGTTAACATCATAGGCAGCACACCATTATTCATTGAGCAATGCTCTGGTACAGTGGCGTATCCAACATTTCCTCTAGTGCAGAAGCCTAGTGACAATATCAAATTCTTTTTTTGAGATAATCCACAACCAAAATACCAACATTAATAACAATTAATAAAACACCCACGAAAAGCATTAATCTAATACTCAAAGAAAAGAATACAAAATATAAACAAAGCCAACTCCACTTACAAAGTTTTCTAAACAGACTTTTTGAAGGTAATCCCCTCTTTCTTTGATAGATTGTCTTAAGAAAGTCTGACAAAAATATATTTCTAGATTATCAAAATAGAACAAATAAATCAATAAAAGTAGGGATAAACATATAAAAGAAGTATAAAAAAAATTAAAGGTCAAGTAAAAGGAAAAGAAATAACCAAAAAGGAAAAGTAATTTCTTAGAATCCACTCTACAATTTTTTCCCAAAAACTCTCTCTTCAAAGCTAAATTTTGAAGGAGATTGTAGAGTATCTTAGACAAAAGATCAGATCTTAAATACAACAAGAATTCAAAAACTTAACCACCATTTAACAATTTACAATCGGCTTAAATCATGTATATGCAGGAACAAAAAGACACTAAGAAGAAAAAGAAAGGAGAATAAAAGTCTACAGTGCTTTTCGTTAGTATATCCAGTTGAAGAACTGTGTCTAGTTTACACCATACTGCAAAGCCAGAGCTAATAACTTGAATAGCATCCATGTTTGTCAATTTCTAGAAGCACACCATTTGCCAAATTGTAATCATGCTTGTTAGCCCAAATAGGATAGAAACCAACCATCTTATAACTACAACACGGACTCTTATAATCCCATCAACAAATGTAGAAGTATAATGCAGACAGGGGGAAAAAGAAGCATTTACAAAGAATAAGAAAAAAAGGAATTTAAAGTCTTCTCTGGGTTTTTATCCCTAGGTACTATTAGCTACATCATTCCTTCTTTCCCAAAGAGGTAAATAAAAATCATGGTCATTAACTATGTAATTTACTGATCAGCCACCGAGTATTCAACCTTATTTAGTGAATAAACCTTCTTATTGTAGTTCAATGGGCTATTGCATAAATCAATTACGATGCAAGGATCCTTACACAAATCATAGCGGGTAATGAGCAACCAACGAAAAACATAAATGTCTTTCATCCATAGGATCATAGCTGTTACAATGTGCGTAGGTCTCACAAATCTTCCATTGATCATAGCCTGAAATGCTGCAACAATAAAATTATACATGTAAGCACGTCAATTTGTCAAAGTTCTGAGGACCCATTACTAAGTTCGAAAAAACAAAAGGTTTCAAACCATACTCGCTATTTGAGAGGTGACAAAAGAGTTATAAAATACAAAAAACAAAAGCATCAAAAAGCTCTAACATATACCAAAGTTATAGTCTGCTTTGCAATACAATGGCATGCTAAATAAAACCCACCATTCCTAATTAGCAGTAATTTCTACAGTCACCTAAAAGCAAAACAGGTGTCAGAAAGGATGCAATGAATTTGATCATTAGCTTGGGAAGAAAAGCAAATAATAGCAAGGAACTTAGCGATACTTCAAAGATATTAATTGCACTTGAGCCATTGCTGCACCAAAAGTGGCTATCCAACCTCCGATTATATCAAATTAATGATTTGAGCCACTTATTATATAAACCCCAACCCAACAATTATACAAGGATCAAGGAATGAATCTTAATAAATGGCAATTTCAAGTTTTACAATACAAATTGCCTTTTTACAAGTTGAGTTGACCATACACTTGCATGAAGATACCAACAGGAGGAGGAAAAATCAGATCAGTTTTGAAGAGTGTTCAAAGCGGAAAAAAAAGTGTTTAAATTAGATGAAAAATCAAATTTACAGATTTTCTACAATCTTTTTGTAGGTGACTATTTTACCTTGATCACATGAAGAAGATAGGGATATGAAGATCTAAACGGAAAAGAAATTGGCTAAATTACTAAGCACAATGACAAGCCTTAACATGCAAAGAATTTGTGCATTATCCCATAGATAAGAACTCTACAAGAAACAATCATAAATGTCTATTCAACCAAAACACCAAAAATTTACTTTTTTCAATTACCACTTCTATATAATCTATGCAATAAATTACCATGCAAGCACCATTTTACTTTCTGTTTTATCTGTTTCTTTAGGCCACAAACTCAAACATGACAAACAAAAAGGAAGCTAGACCATATACTTAATTACATGACAAATACTTTAAAAAGAAAATTTTTACTGAATAGAGGTATTCTCCGCATATTAGTATGAAAAAAGGATCTAAAAAATACTGAAATTCCTAAAAAAAGACCTATAAAAAATCAGAGATATCAGGCTGCCAAAGAGAAACTCTCAGTCATTTCCATGGTTCCTCTTGCAACAACAACAAAAGTAAAGTATACCAGAGTTATTTATGAACAAAATATGCCCTATCTTTAATGATTTAAGGTAAGAAAACCTTAAATAGAGGATGAAGTCTAATTGAGCAAGAAATATGTCAGCACAACTTGTTGGATCGCAACATACTGTAACAAAATATCCTAATTATCAAGTAAAGTAATAACCAAGTCATTGTGTAAACCATCAAAATTTGGTGTCACTTATGTACCTCCAATTTTATGTTCCATACTTACACAAGGTGTGGCCGTCCAACCTTGAATTTTGTTATTTGCAGTCCAATTTTAGTTCTTCCACTTCTAGATTTCAAGTGGAAGCCACAATAGCATGTTATAAGTTTCTCTGGTTGCAGTGCCAACTCTATGGCTTCATCCACTCCTCAGATTTACAATATCAATTTCAATTACTCCTACCTTCTTCAGAGTAAACCATCAAAAGCAATTCTTTCACCAAAAAGTCAAGAATAAATTCTAGTACAAAAAACTATGAAAGAGAAATAGAATTCCAACTACCATAACATAAAGTCCCTACAATTTTTTTAATCTACGGATCCGACAACTACTCTGGTCAACCTAACACAAATTTCCTTGCATAATTAATTGGCAAAATATTAAAGCCTTACCTTTGAAAAATATGCCAATTGGCAAAAATGCCAACTCTTTACACCTGCAATCACACCAAGAAGAAAGTGAGTTTTAGAAAAGAAAAAGGAAACCATAAAAAAAATAAAACACACACATACATGGTGGGTAAAGGTTAATGTTTCCAGTAAAACATCTGGAACCATGGAAGAATGTCGAAACCTCCATCAAAATCATCATCAGTTCATCTTCAATCTCCATCATCCTTTCCCACCTAACAAAAGGAAAAAAATGGACCAAAAAGAAGTAGCCATCACTCCGAGTCCAGATTAAAATGATGAAAATATTTATTGATGAAACATGCAAGGTGAATCCTTAAAGAATAAAAAAATAAATCATATCAGAAAATTAACTATAATGGAGATTCAGTGATTACAAAGCCAAAAAAAATGAAGTTTTCTTAATAGCAAAAAATCTGATAGCATAACAAATAGAGACGCAGAGGAGAGGAGAAAATGATTTGTTGCTTTTAGCAAGGAAAAAAAAGAACAGGAAAAACAGGCTGAAAAACAGAAGAAATTAACCATATTATCACTCAAGAGAGGAAAGAGGGAAAATAGAGATCGAGGAAAAAGAGAAAAATGAGAGGAGAAACCAAGAAAGGAGAAGATTACGAGCACCTTTCGCCTTTAGCCCCTCACCAAATCCCATCACCTTCTTATCAAATCCCATCACCTTCTGAGAAGAAAAAGATCTGGACCCACACGTACAAAGAAAGCTACAGATTGAGGAAGGACCTAAGGGCTACTGAACACAAAGATAACAGCCATGTTTTTTAAGCAAAAGCACGTGCAATGCTCATGACCAGACTACCATTCATCCAATAGAAGAGTGACACATCAGCAAAATGGCCAATGTTTTGGCACACCACCGCTTAGCACATATTTGTTAAAGAAGGGCAATATCGTAAAATAAGGCCAACCCATATTGAGCCACCTAGGGGTGAAATCGAGCCGAGTCGAGCTTGAGTAGTAGCCTACTCGAGTTCGAACACGACAACATCTATCAGGAGCTCGATCAAGCTCGAGCAATGAAGATTGGGATTGACTCGAGACAAGCACGAGTAAGATCGTACTCGACTCGATCGAGCTCGAATGCTATGAGAACCCGTAAATTTTTCGTATTTTATATTATTTTATTTTATTCTTTCACATGCATTTTCTTCATTATACCTATTATATTAATTTTTCCAGAGATTTTATAAGTAAGTATAGTTTTAAAAGAAAGAAAGCTATCAAATTTCTTCTACTCAATCTTGCTCAATCTCACAACTTAACCGATAAAACTTCAAATTATTCCCTAAAACCTCTCAGTTTAGTGGTATTAAGGTTTGTTGTCAAGTGGTTTGGAAGAT